GCGACTAACCGCTTGAGCTATGGCGAGCCCTTACATTGTCAGTTACTGGTTATCACCAAAAGTGGCCGCAGTACAAGGGACTTAGTCCCACCCCACTAGCATTAAATACAATAATAGTGGTTCTCAAAATGGCCTAGTATCTTGCTGTGACCAGGAGTTACGCTGCTGACCTATGTGATACTTTACTGTAAATATTGTAAGAGATCTGAGGTACTCACAGGGGTCAATATGAAGATTATTGTCTACTGAAATATGTGGTATGATACACAGTTACGTTTCGGAGGAACCTGCTGTCTCCATCTTCAGGGTGGAAATGTGAGGAGTTCTCCTGGAGATGGAGGCAGTAGGATTTCGTTAAAAGTCGTCATATATCAACTAGATCAAACTGTGCTACATCCCAGAAGGCATTAATCGTCTTAGAGTATTTATCTGTGCAATATTCGTCCTCCAACTGTGGTCGCACCCCTCATTGCTGCAGTTCTCAATCAGGCTACCTGATATATTAAATAATTTGAGTTTCTTTGATGGAACCTGTCGCTATGGTTCTGAATTCTATGTGCCTTCCGCAGAAACGCGTGAGCTACCCATTTCTCAACGTTTGTCCGTCTGTCTATCTTTCCGACTGAACGCAGTTACAAGTATCGGCGTGGATAAACAGGTTTTAGTCAAATTTTTTTATTATAAATTTCATTGCAATTCGTTAATATATCTGAAGTTTATTTAAATTCGGCAACGAAGGCTAAAACTTTACTTGAAAATCAGAATAAATTTACATTATTTCACTCAAAAAGAAGCAAACTAAAGCTGTACATCTTAATGCATGGGTTCAAGAGGTACTATTATGGTCAATTGAAAATAAACCTAGCTATAAGCTTCAGTTAGGATACATTGAAATAAAAGAGAAAAATTCCCAGGAAGTACGAGTTTGAGGGGTGTGGATGATATTTACAGGCTGTGCCGAGAGAAGAGTATTAAAACGGCTGCCCCCCAAAATATAAACTTGTTCTACAACCAGCAAAGTACTGCGTAAAATAGGTTAATAATTTATTTTATTCATATTTTCCTCACAAAAATTTACTCAAATTAATTATAAGCAACTATTAAACGGTTTTCTCCTGTTTCTGTTCTCTTCATTGTAGATGAGAAAAGATTAGAAATAAGCTTGTGAGTGAGAATATAGCATAAACACGATTTTGTAAGCATCAGTTTGCTGAAGCTACACTCACAAAGGAAATGGAAGCATTCGGGTTCAATCCTCTTGCTGGGTCATAATGGTCTCGAAATTACCAATAGCAAGCCTATGAACATGCATGTGTGCAGATGTTATATGTACGAACTTCATTACTGCAAGAAGGAAGGTAGAACTTAGATGTAAAACACAGGCCTACACTACGGAGTAACAAAAGAGCGGTGGCTAGAAATTTAAGCCTTCTTAAATATAAAAACTCGCACTCCATACCCGCGGCATAGCGTTACTTCTGCTGCGGGAAAGGCTTTAAAGTCACTGTTCTTCAGAGACTACTCTAACTCCTAAGACGCAGTCAAATACGAAGGGTGGTAACACATATCGATGTATATTGGGCCATCTAAGAGTCATATGAATATAGACCTCCGACAATGTTAACAGTACTTTATGTGGATGAAACTTCCTGACAGCATTAAATTCATTATTTTTTTATATAGAGTAGAACTTGGTTATAACGTCATCAAAGGGGCCTAAAAATAGTGTCGTTATAAACGAATGTCGTTGTAACCGAAATGGGCACTTCCACAGTAGCCTTATGTTAGTCACGTAAAAATCTACCAAAAACCGAGTTAAAATGTTGCATTTTTTTAGTGAAATACGTAGTTAAGTACAGACTAACGTAACATTAACGTGGAATTGCCCAAATGTGTAATATCAAAGACATATTACAGCGCTTTTCACTGACAATACACACCGCACTAATACTGTATATTAAAGGTAGGCCTACTCACCAAATTACAGTAGATTACATCAATTGTTGTGCCTTACTGTACCTAGATACGAGTACAGTAATCAGTTATCTTCATCTGTTTCCTGTTACTTTCCCAATACACACTTTCTAAATTACGTTCAATGTCCATATCAGAGAAATTCAGGAATGAAAATGACGTTACATACGAGGTTGATGCATTTGTGCATGTCGTACTAATCAAGGTATAAAAACAGTTGCTTTATGAGGAATTAGTTCGTACCATTGAATATTTGACGCAATAGACAAGGTGTCGCAGAAACCGATGTTGCTATAACCAAGTTTTACTGTATATATTTCTTTTTGTGAGGACAGTTGCAAATTGATCAGATATAATTTCCGAATACTTTTGTCTCGAGTACAGGTTAAATGTGAAGTTGTCTCTGTGCTTGACGAAGCACCAAATCATGATGACGTGTGGGGAAAGTAGAAATGTAACTCCACGAATTCATAACTTTGGCACCAGATGGAAAACATTTGTCATGAAAGAAGTTGTAAGAATACTTATTTTAATATGTGTTTTGGTAAGGTTGCTCAAGATGTGGTGAAAGATACCTGATTCGTGATCTTAAAAATTTGGAATTAAATTACTGTGGCAAGACAAAATAACATTCAAGGACTCAAAAACCAGTTTCCTTCAACGACAGTGAAACTAGTCATTTTCATGTACTGAAGAAGAATTAAGGGGCAAAAGAGTATAATTTCAAATAAAATGTACCATTATTTTTTAAGCTAGAGTGTATTTCAGTTGATGAGTGTTTTGTCATATTAGAATGCAATTTGGTCCAAATTTTCCAGGGATATTAAATAACTCGAAAACCATAATCGAGAGTTCGAATCACGCTCAAGGCATGTTCTGTGTGATGATCTAAGCTTCATGCTTGTCTTAGCCGTGTAACACAGGAGCAGAACAGCGGCGGGTATGGCATTGAAGAGCCATCTTGATTCATTGTCAGTCGTCATTTGAAAATTTCCAGAGGACGGTTCCCTGATATCCACGAGGGAAATGCAATTCTGACATCGAACAGTAAGCTCTAGTTTTGCTTCCAGTCAACTTGCAATCTCTACAAGATACCATCCGTTTGGCGAAACGTTTCCTGGCCTAACATTCGAAAGAATATACAATAATAATAATATTTTCTGAGGTATTTGGATTAAAACAAATTAGTGATAACTTTGATGTCGAAAATTTTAATTTAGAAGAAAATATGGGAAAGCCTGAGATATGTAGATTTCCAGTTAGAAAGTTGAATGTAAAGCTTAATAAACGCAGACACAGAATATCTGTACGTCAGATAAGGTGGAGGATTCGGTCGAGCTATAGTATCAAGAGGAAAAATATTATTCATATCAACACAGAAATAAAAAAAGTTTTTCCTTAATCATAAATCAGATATTTTCACTACCATTCATACAGGCCTACAAATGTAACCTGTAAATAGGAAAATAATAAAATATGTTATTTAGAATTATATTGTTAATTAGATAAAAAGATTAAACAAAGACGCCGGTAATTTTAACACGAGAACTTATTCCATCCAAACGTATTAAGAATGCCTTCGTCGCTTTTTGTTATGAAAATTCCTCAAGAAAAATAAAATATTTTTCACAATGGTTGTATATTGGTTATTTTAGAGCTACAGAAAATTATATTATTTTAAAAATACTTTCCATACTTTACTTAAACCCACGATATGATGTTTGAAACAAACCAATTCTGAAGAAGTTATTATAAACTGTATTTCATGTCTGGTAGAAATTTTGTCCTTTGCGACTGGAACAGAAAAAAAAAGGAGTAAAACTCCGAAGTGATTTAAATATAATTAAGTAAGATTTCAAAACTGTACCACTCTAAGTACGAAAGTTAAGAGGAGAGTCAGTAAATGGGTCATAAATTTGTATAAAACGTAAAACATGTGATATATGAACCTGGAAAAGAACATTTCTCTACATATCCACCAGCATTGATCCTTATGTCTCATCGCTTTACAAGTGCGTCGAAACCCGTAACTTAGAAGTGTTTTGACTGTTGTTACAGCTATTCCCGCATCTCCGTTTCAACCTCTTCATCAGGGATTCATTTGCCGCCCAGTTGTGAACAGCTTTACTCAACACACTTCCCACCGTAAACAGAGAACATTTCTTTGCATTGAGCCTCTCTGCCCACGAAAAACGCAAAACAGAACGCTGCTCTTCATTATCAAATTCCTCAAGCACGGTCTCCACTTTTACTACTGAAACTAGCCTCTCAGTATGCGCATGCGCGTCTGATTGCTAGACTGTCATGAAGCTGGACTGCGCTGCTAGCTAATAATGCATATACAAAACCTATTACATCCATTACAGTTGTTTTACTTCCATTTTAGACCTGTTTACTGCTTACTTTACTGTTTACGAAGGCTTTACTTATGCTAAGAAGTTACAAGCTGGAGTGAAGTCTTTGTGGAACATGCGCAGTACGCATAAATTGTTTCATACATTCTGCAAAGAAATCTGCAATATCGGCTGTCGTTGCTGTTGAAAAAATATTTTCCGGGAGAGGATTGGAGCAATGGCCGGCAACCGGTGGCCCACCTGATATCAAATGTGCCTTACCACTGAGTTCTGCTAAAAAAAAAAAAATTATTAAGTAAACTTTGAGATAACGCTACTAAAATATTTTAGAACATAATATAGAAGTTAATCAATTTGAAAAAATATACATTTAAAATCCGAAATTCCTGTCATACATATTGCAGCAGTCATTTTGGTGGTTGGTTTCACGACATTTAATATTTCATTACGGCAATGAGATCTGGTGGACCGGCATCACTTATTTTAACATTTGTGTTAACAG